CGCACAGCCGGCCTTCCCGGCAGCCTGGCCCGCCCCAGCCGTTCGCCCACCGCCGGACACCCGCGTCGGGAAGGGGAGCACACGCTGTCCTGGCGGCGGGCGAGCCTGGATGCTGCCCTAAGCTTCTATGCGTCTCGCTATTCGTTTCCCGGCACTTGCACGGTCCCCCCAGACTCCTTATCGCCCCACTTCCTCCACCTCTCTGTCGACCCTCAGATCCAGAGCCATTTACCCCAGTGTGGACTTCGCCGGCCGGGGCGAAGTCCCAGGCAGGTGCTCCAGCTCGCAGCATCCCAGGCTGGCAGCGCCGCGTTCGGGGCGGACTGGGGCCACGGCTCCCCACACGAGCGCTGCGCGCACCTGCGGCCCCGCCCCCTCGCCCGCCCGCCAGGGGGCGCCCGCGTCCGCCCCGCCCGGCCGCCCGCGCCGCTAACCTGGGCCGGGCGAGCCTGCCCGGAGACAGGTGACGCCAGAGCCAGATTTCACGCAAGGATCCGAAAAAGGCGAGAAGGGGAGGAGCCGAGAGGAAGGGTGGGCGTGGTGGAGAACGCGGGACCGGGGAATACCAGCCGGCTCTGAGCTGTGGGAGCCACGCCGGCTCCCCCACTGCATTCGGGGCGGGTCACCGTGGCCCCCATATATTCATTCGGGGTGGGTCATGTGGCCCCCATATAGTGGGGGTCGATCCCGGTGGCCCCATATTCTGGGCGAGTCACTGTGGCCCCATGTAGTCAGGGTGGGTCATTGTTGCCCCCATATTCTGGGCGGGCCATGATGCCCCATACTCTGGGGGATCACGGTGGCCCCCATGAAGTCGGGGTGGGTCACCGTGGCCCCACGCTCTGGGCGGGGCAGGGCGGGCCCCATGCTCTGGGCGGGGCACCGAGGCAGGGAGGGGCCCCAGGTTGCCGCGGCCGCTTTCAATTTCCTTTTCCCCTAAAAGGCTGCGCTTCCCTGCAGCGCCGCCGGGATCACCGGTTCCCGGGACTTTCCACCCCCCCCCCCCGAGCTTGTGATCCCGGCCTCGCTGGACGCGGACAGCACCCCGAGGCCGCTGTCCAGCCGGAGCCCATGGCGGGCGGAGGCGCCGGCGTCCCCCGACCCTTCCCCGCATGGGTCGGGGCCGCGCTGCTGCTGCTCGCAGACTGGGCGCTGCTCCGGCCCGCGCTGCCCGGGATGTTCTCCCGGCTGATGCCCGCGGCGGGGCCGCTGCTCCAGATCTGGGCGGTGGGCCTGAGCCGCTGGGCCATGCTGTGCCTGGGGGTCCACGGGGTGCTCAGGGCGACGGCTCCCCGCGAGGGCGCAGGCTCGGCGGCCCG